CCCCCACCCCCCGGCTCAGACCGCCACGGGAACGCAAGTGTCTGAAAAACACTTGTCAGTCAGCAGGCGCCGCCGTTAAAAACGATCCCTTTTTATACCCGCTTAACAAAACCAGGCCCTGGAAAAAAAAAGAAAAAAGAAAGCAAAGCAGAGAGAGAGAAGCCCTATTCTCTGTCCAGCAACAGCTTGAAGACACAAAGAAAAAAAAGACTAGAGAAATGGTTGATGGGCCAAGAAGCTGCTTTTTAATGCTTCCTTCACATGTTTGTTGTTTGTAATGAGCCTGCATTGTCCAGCAGCTAATGTAAAGAGAGCAGGACTGTGTGTGTGTGTTTGTGTGTGTGTGTGTGTGTGTGTGTGGGTCGGGGGGTAATCAGCTGTCAGATACAGGAGTCGACGTGTGTGAGATTAAAATTGTGTTGCGACAAGTGTTTGTTTTCCTCCTCTAAACTACAATTAGGTGATGTGAAGCTGTTTCCATCCACTGGTTTGAGGAAATATTCCCATCATGCTGTTGAAATCATCTCATTATTAAAAAAAAGGCTGTTAAAAAACGTGTTTCTTTCAACACTAATGTGCAGTTAAAAAGCCTTGTGGACTCGGCCCGCTATGCCCGCCTTTCAAAGCGTGCCGTCGCTGTAACATTTAGCACATTCGAGGGGGGCGTGTGTGTGTGTGTGTGTGAGATTGTTGAATTTATGGCTCTTTGTGTTCTAGTCTGGCTTCAGCACCAAACAGAGCGGGTTTGTGCTTTGTCCCCAAGTTTCTCGTGAATTCCTCTGTGGCAATAGACAATTGTGGTGAAGGGGTAGAAAACTGTACAACATGATTGAATGGAGAATGGGTTTGCATTGTTAAGGCATCTAGACTGCTGGTAAAGATTACAGTGACAAAAACAAAAAGAAAGAGTATATAGATACTGTAATGTAAGCAGGCATAAATAACATAAAATAAAGAACAAAGAGGGGTGGAAAAAAGAGGAACACACACACAAAAAAAGAAAGAAGAAAGAAAACAGAGCAATTCTTTGCATCTCTTGGTTTCCACACACACGCACACACACACATACAAAGTCACTCAGGAGGAGAACCCATGCATATTATCAGTTCAAGAACAGTTTCCATCTAAAAGCCTCAAACAAACAAACAAAAAAAGATATAGATTTACAGTATATATATTAATGTGTTTATATTCTTAAAAAATCTACCTCAACCAAATACTCTGTAAAGATGCTACTTTTTGCCATACAATAAACATTTTATAAGAAAAAAAAAAAAAGAAAACTGACTTTTTTATTAACTTACAAATAATACAAAAATAGACAATGGCATGTTTTTGAATCAACAAATAATGGCAAAAAAGAAAGAAGTAAAAACTAGAAAAAAAGTTGAACTGCCACATTTAAATAGTGAGAGACGACAATACATAAGAAAAGCACTGAAGTATGTTCAGTTACTGTAAGAAACGTACACAACACAACTAAACGGGGGGTGAGAGTCAATGTACACATGAGGGATAAATACATTATTTATAGGATATTTTACACGACTCCCCTTTTTGTATCCAAATCCATGTTTGTCACGTTTAGCAGATGAGATACCGACAACATGAAGTAAATCTATCGTCTGTGCTGAGAAGCTGCCTTAAGACGTTACTGTATAATGTTTACATTTCAAACTATAGCTATTGCAAAAAAAAAAAAGGAAAAAAAAAAAAAGAAAATTGATGCCAAATGGAAAAAAAAAGTCTCAACTTTTTATATATACAAAAATATATCACATATATCACGCATTTATTCTAAGATAGGCTTCTTCAGTACAGTGCTGGCTGGACGCGCACACACATCCTCTGGCTTTTCAAGTTGTTGCTCAGATCTCAAACAAAAAGTTCAAATTTTGGCTAAAACTTACACCTTTTTGTCTTCACACGACAAGCAGATATTGCAAACAGCTCAGTCCTCACAGTTTTCCTCTTTTGAATTAAAATTCAAACAGTTCAAACGAGACAGGGGTCAAGGAAAAGGCATTTGTTTCCGATGCTGAAGCAGCACAGGGTTTATTTAGTTTCATTTATTGATTTCTTTTTTTGAAAGGTTTGTGGGGAAATTAGCAGCAAAAAATTGAGGGTGTTTTCTTTTTTTTTGTTCTTTTATGAGTTTCCTGGCGTTCTCGCGGCATGTGGTTTCACGTCTGAACCAAAACTGAACTGTACGGGTTGGGTGAGGGGGCGGGGCTCCAGAACGCAAAGCTTATAGTCGTCAACGTAAAGATAAATAAATGCTTTATTTATTTTTTCATGAGGTCAGTGTCACACTGTGGGCAAACTATCAGTGTCTTTACACTCCATCCAACACGGTGTTAGAGAAGCTACACTAATTCAACCAATTGAGGAAAAAAAAAAGAAAGAAAACATCACAAAGGCTCAAATTGTCCTCCTTTATCTTCTCCCTCCTTCAGATGAAATCCCACTGGAAAGGCCTGAGTTTAACAGAGTCCTGCGTCTTATCTTGACTTCCTTCAGTTAAGCTCCGGAGCATAACAGAGACTCGCCAGACGCCGCTGCTGTGATTCTTTTTCTCCCCCCCTCCTCTCAACATCCCCCCAAAACTTCCAGCTTCCCACATCCTCTACATGGGTGGAACAATCATCGCGGGGATCGCTGCTTTGTGGGAAAGAAGAACGGGGTGGTGGTGGGGTGGGGAGGAGGAGGTGAATGGGATTTTCAGGAATAAGGAAAGAAAGGAAAAAAGAAAACACAAAGGTCAGTCATGTGATTGCTGGGTTTCATCTGTCATCAAAACAGTCACATGAGGGGAGGAAAAGAAAAAAAAATGTACTCAAGCATCTGGCGAAACACTTTCCCTCATTATCTCTTCATTCCGAGGGCCCCGCAATAATGAAAACATTTCTCTTTTTTTCCCCACTCTCCTTCTTCTCGGCTGCGCCGCTAACTTGGCGTACATCGACAACATTGTTCAGCTATTCACAGGCCCTCTGAGCAGCTTCATGCAAGAGCTGCCAGTGTTAATTGTTAGCAGCTCCGGCGCATAAGCCAGTCCCGCGTTATTGACAGTAATTTGAACATGAAAGTGGCGTGCGATGACAGAGGCGATGAAATTACACTCAATGCTCGAAAATGGAAATGGAAACCTTGGGCCTGTCAGCTCGAGTCGCATTTCCACGCTCGCRTATCGTGCTCTGCCTTCCCAGCTCCTACGTGTTAACCTCCTGACAAGACCACCCCCACCCCCACCCACCCCCCAACTCCCAGTTTTTGCACTGAAGTCATCACATGGAGAAATTTTCCATATAACATATTGGCTTCTTATTGATTTCTCTCTTCAATCCACTAATTCCCTGGTTTTTCCCTAAGAGTCTGTGGCTTGTTGGGATTAACAGAGAGCGGTGTGTGTGTGTGTGTGTGTGTGTGTGTGTGTGTGTGTGTGTGTGTGTGTGTTAGCAGTGCACGGTGGCCGTTGGCCTCTGGGTCACGGTGGTCAGCGCTCATCAACGCTGCCAGGGGGAAGGGAGGAAGTGCTTAGCTTTGGGGCTCTGATAAAGACTCCCATCCATCATCTCGCTCTGGTTTTGAAGCGTCTGAACACTATACGACATCCTGCCTAGAAGAGTGGCCCTCGCGCTGCATTTATTGGCAACGGGAGAACAGAGTGACCCGTTGCGACGCAACTCCCACCCTCCCGACAGAGACACCCGCCGGGGCAGGAAACAGGAAGTGAAAACAGGAAGTAGAGCACATATGGTGTGGCGTGCAGTCTCTGTGGCAAGTCAAGAGTGACGACAAAATCCATTTAAAGGGGCAATATTATGTGTTTCTCAGGCATATATTTAAATACTATACCATAATAAAGTATCTATGCCACCTTTAGCTGTTATTAAAATGCTGTTTTTATGTTTAAATAGAAAATAAACTTATCTTCTCATCACTTCCTCTTCTAAACGCCTTGAAATTGGCCTCTGTCTCTTTAAGAACCACCTTCCGCTTCCATTTTGCCCATTTCAGTGCGGGATGGGATGGTGGTGGTGGTGGTGGGGGGTCGCCAAGATGCAGTTTACTTGACTCTGAAAATACATTTCCTCAAAGGTATTTTTAATCTGAAAGAGCTTCACTGAGTGAGAACTAATGTTGAGAGCTCAGCAGACAGTTAGGTTTCACTTTCACCCGAGAGCCTGCAGGAGTCATGGGTGGTGTGTGTGTGCGCTTTTCATGACATTTCCTCAAAGGTATTTTTAATCTGAAAGAGCTTCACTGAGTTAAAACTAATGTTAGGAGCTCCCCAGACCGTTTAAGTTTCACTTTCACTTTCACCCAAGAGCCTACAGGAGTCATGGGCGGGGTGTGTGGGGAAGTGGGAGGGGGAATGCTCTGCCATGAGGAAGTTCRGCTTAAAGACACGTCCCAGGGGCGTTTCTGGTCCCCACCTGTCGTTTTGCTCCTCAGCATGGCTTCCTAAAAACGCTGCAGGATTTCTCAAACATGCATGAATGAGTCAAAGCAAGGCTTTGGGCATGTTTTTTATGAGAGTATAACATTATAACATAATGTAAAACTCAAAAAAGTTGATTTTACATGATATTGCCCCTTTAAAAAAACAGGTGGTAAAAAAAAAAGAGCATTCTGTGATAACGTGACGTGCAAAGAGAGCAAAACATGAGAGTAAAACATAAAATAGGAGGATAACGTACTTCAGGAGAAGGCCAGGCCCTGCAGAGAGCTGGCTGATGAGTACTTGCTAGAGTCCACAAAAGACTGGTCTACGTCAGGGAGGGGAGGGTTTCAAGAAAGGTAGAAGGAAGAAAAGGGCAGAATAGAGAAAGAATTGTGAGTAAAAGTCAGAAACATAAGAGAGGCAAAGTCAAAGCTTCAAAGGAACAATTCAGAATAAATATCATTTATAGAGTTAAAACTTTCAATTTGAGCCTCCACCAGTATTAAATAGTAACAACTGAAGCGCGCGCTTCTCAGTTTACCTTGCAGGCTGTTTGCGTTAGCGCTGGTGCACGTGGGCGGAGGGGAGTTCTGAGGTCGGACGACGGGGGCGAAGGCGCTCTTCTGTTTGACGGCGGCCGAGACCATGTTGGCTGGAGAGAAGGAGAAGATGCCGGAGGAGCTGCTGCAGTTGGAGGGCAGGCTGGTGGAGGACGCCATGGTCGGGCTGGACGGGACGACTGGGAGGAGAGAAACGGGCCAGGAAAGGGGCGTTTAAGTTAGGAGCAAATGTTGGGGGAGACGGGGGGGTCCGGGGAGGAGAGACGAGGACAGAAAGCGGGTTAGAGAGAAGGCCGAGGGCAGAGGACAGGCAAACGGGACGAACAGAAAGGGACTGGTCAATGGATGATGGCAGGAGGGATRAGAATGTTGTACTCAGATCAACTGACTCAGACTTATTTTATAAACGTTTGTGTTATACCTGAAAACAAGAGACGGTGTTGGTTATAACGTGCAACACCTGTTACGTTTTTTTTTTCAAAGTCTAATTAAATAGATTTCATGGCAGTCGGAGGTTACACATCTCCTAAACTTCTACAGAAATTGAACTCACTTTTCTTTGAATTGTTCTTCCTCATCAATAAGAGTTTGTGGTTTGAACAGTCAATACAGAAAACACTGAGAGGGATACATACACTCACTGGCTGTCTTGTATAAAGTACCTCAAAGTGATACATGAGTGAAAATATTGAAGGAATTTATTGGTCACACTTTATTAGACACTGATTTAAAAGCACCACATCATTTTCTTAGTTTTCCTTTTTAAGGCTTGACTTTTATAATCTATTGTTATGTCTTGATTAAAATAGGTTTAGTTACAGAAACACCTTGACAACACATAATAAACCGTTAATAAAAACATTAGGTGAGCATTGCTGTTCAGAGTGTCTGCAGGGGGCGCACCAGGCACTGAAGATCCCTGTATATATAGACCAGAACTTCCAGTTTTGGACAGCGCTGTTCTGCCTGCTTCAGCCGTAAGCAATGAAGCTTCGCTCAGAACCAGATCTGGGGTTTTGTGGTCTATTCTCTTCACATTTTTATCGATACAATATTTATGTGGTTTTGTCACGATTTTGGTTAACCAACAGGAAATATTCTTATAATATCTTACCATAAAGTTACTTTGGTAAAAGTTAAAGTCCCCTTTAGGAATATAACTTGAGTAAAAGTCTTAAAGTATTTGACATTTACTATACTAAAGTATCAAAAGGTATTCCCAACCTATTTTCCTCAAAGCCCCACCTTTTTTTTTTACGTCCAAGCCAAGCTGAGGCCCCCACTCCTCACTACCTCTCCAGTGTTCAACATTTACCTTATTATCAAAATAATAAGATAATAAGAATAAAGTGAATAGTTACATACTTTTATTTTGAAAAGGGGAAAAAAGAAGAACCAGGTTATACAGAGTTTAATCATTCAAATTTACTTTTTTTCTTTAAACATTAAATTAATATTTTCACAACTACCGAGCAGTCCGCTCATACTTCTCATCCAACCTCATTTAAATTCACTCCATCTGGGGGGAGCGATACATCTGGATAGCTTTTTAAACCTTTTCTGAACAATAACAAGCCGAATTGAAACCCAAAATAAAATGGGAGTGACAAGACTATTTTTAAACTGTAAGGAGTAGAAGTAGAAAGTTGGCTGAAAAACAATTATTCCAGTAAATAACTAACATTTCTGCTTMAGTAAAGTAACAAARTATTTGTATTTAAGTTACACTTCTGCTCATTTGTTCGAATATGTTAGAGCAATATGGTTCACAAACTTGATTCTTAAAATTGTGTTCCATTTATTAACAACCATGTTCTTTAGGGTTTGTCACTTTGTCACATAAAGACGGGTATTAATAAAAAATAACATTTTCACTTCCCATTTTCAAAGTTTTTGGTGATTTAAAAACTGTATTTTTGGAGGGCGGACAGGAAAGACCAAGTGTTTTAGAAACAGTGACGCAGCAGCATGGTTTTAACACTTTGTCCTGAAGAACTCCAAGAGTCATTTGTCCCATATTTCATTAGAAAACAAATATTACTTTTTTTTACTCCGCASGGCTAACTCTTTGGATCAGTCGTAGCATTTATTACATTTGCCTCTGCACCTGTTTTCATTATTTTTAAAACTTCCTGGCCTAATATGTTTCTGGAATTCATGGCAAATTTTCACATTTTAGTGACTAGATAGCAAATTCAAGACAGAAATAATGAAATAAGTTTTACACTAACACCGGGAAAAAAACTGTCTAAAAAAACAGAGCTGTTGTTTAATTGTTATCAAAAAAACTGACGTCAGCAATTTGTCATAAAGCAGCAGGTGCGTGATACATCTGCGCTTCTCTGGCACTGTGTCGTTATAAAAGATTGGTATCTCAGGTGTGTTTTGTTGCTGCGCTTGATGAATTGTAGGCGCACAACGCAGACACTAGCACCCACAAAGCTTCTGGAACTTCAGTGAAAGGTTTCTGAGACTACTCTGAAGTAGGGTTGGGCAATATTGGCAAAAAAATTAATCACGATTAATTGTGGTATTTGGCCAATAACGATTAATTTGACGATTAATCCCTTGGACACCCTTATGTCCTGGTCACACGACCAATTTAGTGGGAAAGGTTTGTTCTTCATAAAAATCTGTTCCAAATTGTGTCAAAATTACAGACTCCAGGCTGTACATCAATTTTTAAATTGTGTTGATAGATAAATTACAGAACTTTTTTAAATGTTTGTCATAGTTGAAGCGGAGAGGAGCTCCGAGCGGACTGACCGGGGAAATATCCAGTCAGTCTACCTGGTGGCATTAATTGTATTAATCGTCAAGTGCCAAAAAATAACCGATTAATGTTTTTCTGGTGATTAATTGCACACGATACGATTATGCCCAACCCTGCTCTGAAGGCTTTAGACACAGCATCTTAGTGAGATTTACTGTGGCTACAGAAATCATGTGTTCCTAACTGACACAATAACATCCACACAACCTAAATCCTGTCTCCCACTGACTCCATCCCATCCATCCATCTCTCTCAGGTCGGTCTTTTTGTCTGCTGTTACACTAAGAGCATTTTCCCCTTCAGTGATTTTACAATCAGCTGAGTCGTATTTCACCTGCCCTCTGATATCTGCGTCTGCTTTTATTGTTGTTATTATCCAACACTTAGCTTTTATGGCTCTTCCTGACAAATCCTTGCAATAAAGTCATAATCCATTTATGAAGGGGCCTAACTAATCAATTAATGAAAATTGGACCTACAAAGGCAGGCCGAGGGGCCATTGATTGAAAGTGTCTGTGTGGGGCCGAGGAGCCTGTTAAAATACTTGTTAACACTCAGGAATCAAAGAGCTGAAATGGAATTGCTTCTCTAGCAATTAGTTTATTGATTTAATCAAGGGTCTTTAATGTAGAGRGTGAACGTGTGCGCACCGCCGTGCTGGTGTGTGTGCATGTGTGTGCGCTTCAAAGGAGAGGGGCCGCTAGGTGATCTGCTCCCTCGGCCAATAAAGGGAGGATTTGCGTTTGATTCTGTTCTTAAAGAAACAGATGAGCCAGCTAAAACTGCAACCCAGGAGAGTCTTTCTTGATCCCACCTCTCCTTCTCTCGACAAAACTGACTGTTTTCTTTCAAATGACCTGATTCAAGCATTTTTTTTTGTTCTTTTTGCACCATTTGCCTTGATTTTATTGCTCATCGGTATGGTTATTTACTCACTAGCATAGGGCGAGTTGCCTGCAGATCCGTTGAGGAAGTTGGGTGAGGTGCCCAGGGTTGCCATGCCAGAGTTAGCGTAGCCATTCATGCTAGAGGAGACAGAGCTGTAGCTGCTCTGCTGGGGAGTGGAGCTGGGGACATAGCCATGAGGAGACACACTGCTTGTACTCCTACTGAAACCTACAGACGAGGAAGGGGAGATAAAAAAAGGGGGAGAAGAAGAAAAACTTGTGTTAAGAGGTCAAAGCCGAAGGAAGAAGAAAAAGACTGATAAAAAAAACAAGAAAGATTTCATGCAGAGCTGCCAAGTTCTCTATTTCATAAAAGACTGGTGGGTGCAGCGATTTGAGCCAAAAAAAAAATTCAAAAATCTTACACAACATATGGCAAAGCGAGAAAGCAATGAACAGAGGAGTGGAAGAATTAGGAGATCCAACAACTGAAACAAGGAGCCTTTGACCCTGCTGGCTCCTCGCCAAATTTAGATWCATTGACAAGGCAATTAACACTAAAATGCCTCTGCAGCTTCAGGGAACATTTTAAAGAACAAAGCCAGTATTCCTGACAACAATGGACCCCTCAAAAAGAAAGTGAACACGAGGCTATATGGTAAAGATGACGATAAAAACACTTCTCAGTTAAAAAAAAAAGAGAACAATAGCTGGATTTGAACATCAGGAATTTTMTTTTCTAGTGCAACAATCTTTTTATTTCTGTTCTTTTTTTCCTTCACCACACCACTCATCTATAATTAGCATCCATTCACCCCGTTCTCATCTTCCCATTAAGCTACAGCTTATGAGATAAGCGGCTGACCTCGCTTGTTTTCCTCATATCTGCAGATGTTTCCAGATGAAGATGAAGGGCAGAGCGAGCTCATTGGAATTATTGAGACACATCCAGAAGCTGGTCCATCCACTCTCCTCTTGTTCCCCTGATACGTGTGATGAATCACCACTGACTGCACCCACATCTCTCTCTGTCAGACAGGGGCCGACCCCAGTCTGATATACACACCCCGAGGACCCACTCATTTTTCTCCATCGTACTCCATCCATGCCTCTCTTTTTCTCCATTCTTCACTCTTTCACAGCCGCTCTTTCTTCCTTTCAAGTATTCCCCAGTTCTCGCCGCCACCATCTTCCCTCTTCCTGTCCTGCTTTGCTTKACTTTTTTTTCTCTCTCAGACTTTCCTGTTTGTCCACCCCCCCACCCGCTTCTAAATCACCGTCTCTGTATTTCCCACATGAGAAATAAAGTCTCCACTCGTTTTTTACCGCCCATCACAAAAAGAAAAATTTAATCACTGTCACTTTTCCCGCGGTTGTAAACTTTAACGGCTCCGTGTTGCCCTTGCTCACCCTGATTGGCTGTTTGCGCCACCTCCGACCCGGTGAAAGAGTTTACGGCCATCATGCCGGCGTGGACGGAGCCGCTGCCAAGACTGGCTAGCTGGTTGTGCCCTCGTGGCACTGTTGTGTAGAGGGCCTCTGCGATGTCTGCTGCTCGCTTCAGAATCATCTCCTGGTAAACAGAAAGAACCAACAAGCAAACCTGTGGTTACCAACAGAACTGAGATGGGTAGCAGAATCCCAGGGCTTCACTCAAGTTACTGTGTATGTAAACTTCCCAAATCTTACATTGATTCCTGTAAATTGCAACATAGGTGTACCACAAGGCTCCATATTTGGACCATTGCTATTTYCCCCGTACATTAATAAATAAATTGACCAATTGAACATTGCAAAGATGTCCAGTATTTATTTTATGCATATGATTCTGTTTTTATACAGTAGCTGCAAAGACCAGAACACAGCTCGGAGTGAGTAAGCTGGCCAAACATTAGCGTTTCAGAAAGGTTAAGGAAGTCTTTTCTCTGATGGTCTCACAGGAATATAGTTCCACAACAAATAGTGCATTTCATTTAAGGGCACAAGCACAAAAACATATTTGCATTGATGCTTATTTACATAATATTCATATTAACATAAATGAAATATAAGTTTTCCTAACTTTAAAAAGCTTCGTAACAGTATGCTCCAATCAAGCAAGCTTTTTTCTGTATTACAAACCAACATTAAAAGATTAYTATTTTTCAWTACATYATGTAAAAAGAAGTATTTCATTATAAAGATTGCAGTAAAAATATAAAGTGGTTTTWATCTTCAAGCACTTTTATTTCAAGATCATGATTACAGTATAAACACAAATGCTCATTAGTGTATGAGACCAGCGGCCACCTTTAAAGGCTATAAGATGAACATATTTGAAGCAATAACTTTTTGCTATATTTTTTTGTTTTGGGTTAAACATACATTTATACTTTGAATAGTATTGTATTTGTTGGTTGTTTTGTACCATGTTGCACTTGCATATCTCTGTAAAGGCAGATTAATAAAGCATCATAGTTACCAACGCTGTGTGCTTCCCAGACATAACTTAAACCAAGTGAGTGTAAAAGAGTTTTAACATAACCAACCCACACCTTTTAATTAATGACATCTAATTCTCAAATTTCTCAAGCTTAAATTAATTGTGTTTTAAACTTACATGCAAAGTGTGTACTTATTTCATTTCCATTAGTCATCTATAAGAAATCTAAAAGTTGAACTATTTGTTTACTGCTTTAGATTTCCAACTCAAATTTGAAGTAAAAAGATTTTAGTATTAAAAAAACATTTGTTTTTATGAAATAATGTTTTTATTGTAAAGGCTGCCCAGTTATATCTGCCTGCAAAACCTCTTTCAACCATTTCCTGGTGTGTGATTGTTTAGGGACAAGTAATTAATTCCGTCTCAAAACCTGTGATACTTTTATGCAAACAAGCTTTGAATATTTTGCAGAGAAAAATAATCAATACATAGCRTCACTGCAAAGCACTGAAAATCTGTTAACTTTGATAGTTACCACCTGCTGCGGTGAAAGGTGGGCAATCSTGTGGGCATGTGTCTGGGTGGGTTCATTTGTCTGGCTGTTGTTAGCAAAATATCTTATGGATGGAAATAAATGAAACTCTCAGAAAGAAACAATAAACAAATGCGTATCATCTGCTTTGAATGCAAAGGTTTGTGAACAAAGATTTCATCAATCTTGTTATTGCTTACAATGTGTGATGAGGGCGACTCTTAACTACTGCCACAATACATATTAGCTCAAAAACTGCAAAAAGGCMGAGTTATACCCATTTTTTTGTATTATGTACTTGAATAGGATTTACAAGAGTTACTTTCTGAGAGTTTCATTCATTTCCATTGTGGTCAATCCTATTGAAGAAGGCTGTCACAGCTGACCAAACCTAGTAAACACAAAATGGGTATGACTTTTTGATTTTCTAAAATTTATTGTGGTAGTAAAGAGTCACCCACAACACACATTTTAAGCAACAACAAGATTGATGAGATCTTTGTTTAAAAACTTTAGCATGCAAAGCGTTGGATGGTACGCATTCCTTTATTGAGTTCATAATGGTCTTATATACTTTTTATTTAAAAAAGTACATTTTTAAATGCATTATTGGCCTTGTTCTATTAGAAAATTAACGTATTAAATATATTTTCCAAGTCAACCGCCCTAGAGCAACAACAAGGGGCGCAGTCAWTGGGAGCTGTAAACTAGCGAAGCTWACAACACTTTATTTAGACAATCCTCCTTTTGTTAGGAGGCACAGATTTAGAAGAGTTTGCCAACAACAATAAAAAACGCTTAATGACTTTAAAGTTTTGTTTTTAAAATGAAACAATGACTAAACAAAGACACATTTGCAAACACTAACATTTATTCTTGTTTGTCKCTTTGTCACATTTTTGTTAATTCTGTAAATATGTGTGTATTTTTGTCATTACTCAATGGTTAACTTTTGTTTGTTTTAACACAATAGCTTTCTGAACTAGAACGGTTGTGCTTCTCTAAAAGCCTAACCAGGAACAAGAGCTTCAAATTACCAAGGTCCTGCATACGTGGGAAGAGACAGCATTGCATTACTTGTTTGGTAAAACTGTAAAAACAAAGACTAAGAACAGAAAAAAGGAGGGATGGATACATAAGACATTTTTTTTGTGAGCATTCCTTACGTTCTTCCTCCACGCAACCTTTCCTTCTCTTCTCCACTCCTATTAATCTCTCCCTTCTATAGTTAATTTTCATTGAACTTCTCCCTTTTCACCCATGAGCTGATAAAAGCATTGGCATATTCCCATGCGAACGCTTGCGAGTTTCAGACTTTGTGAGCACAGCGGGGCCAGCGGAGACACCGCCTTTGATGCTTAGTGGYCTGAGCCACAACATAATCCTATCAAGCAGGAGATAGGGATGCTGGTTGAAAAAGATGTTTTTTTTGTGCATGTGAGTGYGTGTTTACCTGGTTATTGTGAGGCATCCCGTATAGGGCCTCCACCAGGTCCGCTGCTCTCTTTAAAATTACCTCCTACAATCAAGCACACACACAGAGAGAGAGAGAGAGGAAAGGGATTGATCATGGGCAGAACAGCTCAAAGAGTTCAGTCACTTTTATTACGTTTCACTTCTTACATTATGCTGTGAATGCAGAACAGAGGGAGCGAGGGAGGAAAGAGGCCAACAGAGGGAGGGAGAGGAAGAGAAATGGGCCTATCGCAGCACTTTGTTACCAGCTGGGCAGTTTCGGAGCGCAGGGGGAAGAAACTGTTATCTGTGAATAAAACATGAGCCTATAGCTCTCTATCAGTCAACCATCTTCTGCATCTTCTCCCTCCCTTTTGTCACTGATGGATCAGGACTCCGCCGCGCATGATCACGCATCAATTTCATTTAACACAACATATCATCAGGGCTGACGGCTCCACAACCCRGCTCGTCGGCGGGAACACGCCCGTCTCCTGGCCTGTATTAACCCCCGGTAATGATCCGAGTGAATGGGCCCCGCATCCACTTTGTGTGATAAATGTAGAACATCATTGCTCAGGTGAAAACCGCCGAGTGAAATTTCCCACATCAAACATTTATCCTAACGCAGTGTTACCGCTTCTCCGCGCTCATTTCCTCCTTCTCTATTCCCCCCCCACTCCCCGAGTGTGCGAGCGTGTGACTCCAGGCAGTCGTTATATGTGTGTGYGTGCGTGATGTAGACACCTACAGCCCTACAAAACCCTTTTTAAAAGTTAATGTGCCGGGGCCAGGATATATGCTGGAGGTGCGACAACCAGAAAATTGCAGCCCTCCCCCCTTCTCCTTTCCTCTTTCCTCCCAACCTTCTTTCTTTCGCTCCTTTCTCCTCCACGCACACACACACACACACACACATACACACACACACACACACACATGCTGTGCGTTATACTCTCCTGAGTGTATCCCTCGCTGCGAACAAGCCCCGGAGCATGTGTGCTCTCTGTTCCGTGACACACTGCCTTTCAATCAGACCTCATATCAAACGCACACACACGCGCACACACGCTGCCACACACACGTGGAAGCTGTCGAGCACAGCCGAGACATGACGAGAGGGTCAGCAAAGCAATAAAGATTGTAGAGCGCTGTCCGAGGTGCTAAATTCACTCAATAATGGGAGCGCTGCCTCTGTGTTAACCTCACATTACTAGCACTATCTTGGGGGGAGGCAGAGAGGCAGGCAGTGGGAGAGGGAGGGAGGAGACCAGAGAGGAGGCCTGCTTGAGGTGATTGAGAGATGTAGAGGCCCAAAGAAGGTAAGTGGTTCTTTAGTATGTATGCGCCTCTCCTCGCTTCCTTGTCTCTGTATTTCCTCGACGCCGCATGCCTCCCAGGGATTGCTAGATGGGTAGATGGATGGCTGGATGAAGGGATGAAGGGGATGGAGGAGATGAAGAGGAAGGGAAGGGAAGGGGAAATGAGGGAAGTGTGAGGCATTAGGACACAAACAGATCAGCAGCTGGAGTGTGACGGTGTTCCAGAAGCTCAGTCACTTAATGTTTACCTCAGCTCTCTCTCTCTCTCTCTCTCTCTCTCTCTCTCTCTCTCTC